GTGCTCACACCTACACACGCACACTTACTTACCTTAATGCCTACAGAGCAATGGCAGCTCAGCCTCAGCCAGACTTTGTCAGTGCTGCTGTCACAGAAGCATCACCCAGATCTAACTTTGGTTCCTCCCTCATGACGGAGGTTTCAGTTTAACAGTCATGCTGCACAATTTATTCTGAAACTACTGAAGGGAGATTTGTGGTACAAAATATCAAACCAAAGAAATCGTAGAAAACCCCCCCCCCAGTGCTGATTCTCCAAAATCATATCAAAAGTTATTGTTTAACTGTCATTGTTGGAAATGTTTAGATTATACAAATGCAAAAAATAACTTCTCATACAGATTGAGATGGGATGTGAACCTTGTTATCTTCAGTTCAAGTTTTAAAATGGCTATAGTTGTATATTTTTTGCAGTTTTTCAGATAATCACTTACTGTCTACCAATGTCTATAATGTCTACCACTACAGAGAGCATAACATTTGATCCAGATAAGCCCGTGGAAGTGAGAGTTATAGTGGTATTTCTATTTTCTGATAATGTTGCAGACATGACAGCAGAAATATTGAACCAGAAATACTGCACTTCCAGTCCCCTGAAACAGTGAATGTTTTCCATAAGCCACCTCCTCTATGATTATTGTTTCAGGGGAGGTGAGCGTTGTTTGAACCCTGCTCCCACTCATCCTCTTGTTGCTCTGTGTATTTCTTGTGCACCACGAGTAAAAGAAGAATCCTAACCTGAACCCTGGAGAAAGGGCTGGAGTGTCAGACTCGGATAAATACACAGATGTAGAAAACAAAAGAAAAAAACAACTTTAAGTGAGAAAAACTTTCTTGTTCTAGCTCTGCACTGTACCACTTGACATAAGCTGTCAGAGAGAAGAGGGCATGATTGATCATATGTCATTTATTTATGCTAAATTCATCCCATCGAGATAGTGGGGTGCAAAAGAGAAATAAACGGTGAGAGTTCATTCTAACCTGAGATGCCAAGCAGGAACAAAAGCTACAAAAAATACAGTTAAATCTTTTTTTTAAGCAGTCATTGCTGCTTGACAGACAGAGCTCACCTGTCCTCAAAAGACAGCAGGCTTCATCGACATCTGTCAGATGTGCTCAGCAGAATCCCAGCGGGGAAACCTTAGGCTTTGATTGTGCATCAGTTTAGTGTAGAGGTTGTCAAAGTGATAGGAAGAGAGAAGAGATGAAGGGGCGAGGGGAGAATGGTGCAGACAGAAGACAAGGGCGTGAAGAGAGAGAAGGGTACGAGAAGGGGGTGAAGATGGATGAGCAGAGCGAGGAGGGGTGTTGAAGAAAGAGGGGTGGTGAAGCAGTGAAGAAGAAAGTACGAGGGCAAACGAGGGAGCAATTCAGTACAAGCTCTCCAGTGAGAAGTCTTACGTTGATCGATATTTTAGTGATATGCTCTTGTTTTGCTCAATGAACATTTTTCCTCTGGAATGTGCTGTCGGACTTAATGCTCCTCCGCCACTGTTTTCTTGGTAATGTTTCTGGGAAAATGGAACAAAAGGCATCTAATTTCCTCTCACCTCTCCTCTAAATGGCTAAATCAGTCAGAGCGAACACAAGACTCCTGGTGATGAAGATCTCCTTGTTTCTGTGATTATGCGGGAGGTTGATATTTCTTTGTTCACCTTTACAAAATGTCACAAAGATTGTGATATACACAGTCCCCCATTTATGCACTTCGGTCAGGATGTCCCAAACTGGCAGGAGAAAGTTGAGGCAGGAATAATTAAGCCGATTTAAACACATTTGAATAATTCATCAATTCATTTATCTGTTGGGTTATTTTAATTGTTTTTTCCAGGTTCTCTGTGGCAGTATGTATTCGAACCTGGGGCATATGGATTGGTGAAATGTAAATATAAATGCACATCTTTTCTGCATCGTGACCATTACATGCATTTCAGCATTTCGCATTCAGATGTCTGTGAAAGACTCACATTGGCTGATTTTATCTGCAATCCTATATCGGTCTGGCTTTATTTCTGGTTTGACTACCTGATGGTAAAGATAGTCAAATCAATATTGACAATGACGCAAGTGAAAGTACAAAGTAGTATAAAAATAGGCAATTAAATACATATGGAAATTGAGTAAAGAATAGAATGTTGATATTGTGCAATGCGTTACATGGAAATATGTGGAAGATATATTTTCTATTTGTACTACAGTTCATATCATAGTAGGGTATTTGATCAGATAACCCGCAGTAAGGTCTCACAACCAATTAACAACGAACACGACAGAAAAGAGAAAGAAGTGAGAGAGAAACATCATCTATTCTTTTTAATAGTTTCACTTGTTCAGAGCACACTGGCCTTGAAGCCAAAGATTCAACAGGCTTTTGTCACATCCCCAGTTTTGACATTTGAAAAATCTCATCGGGGCCATGTTAGTGTCAGCCAACACATTGTCAGTGATTGAAAAGCTGACTTCAGTTGCATTTCATCATAGTCTACTGTATAGGGAAAATTTTAATCCTGCTTTTTAAACTTTGTTTCCAGCAGCAACAAAACTCATGGTTACAACCCTTTTGAGTTTCAAATCTCTCTCTGCACTCTTACCAGTGTTGTCATAACACCTTATGCATTTTAAGTCTTAGCTGCATCTGATCATACATACTGTTTCTTTACAGTAGAACACATGAACTTAGCCTGGACTTTAGTCCTTGTGTAATAATTGCTGTGTGAAAAGAGTACTAAATGTTCCCATGCATGATTAATAACCTAGGGCCAAGGTTAATCGTAAAATGAGGATGTAGAAAAAGATGAAGTAAGCTGTAGAATAGGTTCTCATGTGACATTTTGTGTGCATGAGATTTAACAGACTGAATTAAAACATCAGTCACATCCTTCTTCTGAATCAACAGAGCGAGAGTTTGAGCTTTGATTTGAGGCTGTTTACATGTCTGGTGGAATATAAAGTCGCCTTGAATCATTAACATTTGATGTAAAATATGCTCCTGGTGAAACCTCAACTGTCACACCGACTGGAAAAAAAGTAATATGGGGCCTGAAGCGGTGAATGACTATGAAGACGTAGCTTTTATAGATAAGGTCAGCGTTAGTACTCGTAGCACTTAGATTGAGTCTCATAGCTGCTGCTGGAAGGCAGAGAAAGATGACGAATGCTGCGACTCTGAGCGACCCTGACTCCTGGTGAAAATACCTCTCAGTGTGTGTGTCCTCTGCTGTGCTAAATATGTAGGTGTTGGAGATAAGACAAAGAACAGAGGCTGTGCACCAGATAAAGATATACAGCTCCACAGGTCTGTTTAATGTTTAATGGACCGTGTTCTCAAAAGGGACAGTTAATTAAAACAGTGCTTTTGGTCAATCTCTCCCTGCTGATTTTGATCGTGTGAGTTGAAATCCATCTGTACACCTCCGCCAAAGTGTCACAGTTGTTTGGAGGAAAATGGTTACATATAGATTCAGAGGCTTGTTAATTATCAGGCCTAAATAATGACTTCTGAAGTTTTGTTCCCCATCTCCTCTATCTGTCCAATGGCCCGGAGGTCTGCTGTGCTTAACTTTGAAGGCTTTGTTATTAAAAATGTGTTTGATATGCAGCACTCGAAGTGAAAGATCTCTCCCCCGTACACACAGGGGCGCACACACGCTTCGACAATCATAAAATCTGCTGCATACATAAACAGACTGACAACGTTGTTTTTGCAAAAGAATAATTGTGGACATGCAGTTATACAAAATACTAAATTAAGACTCCTTGGGGGGAAAAAATATGCGAAGGACAGAGACACAGGATCACACAGCTGTGATGAGCTGTAATGATTCAAAGCTCTTGACAATGAAGTATCCTTTTGAGTTGACAATGATGGTGAGACGCAGGATTAGACGATGGACCCGTGTGCTTTGGTTTCTTTCATCTTTTAATACAGTTGTGTGTATGTGTTTCTACTCATGTGAGTACAATCAGCTTAAAACAGACTTATTGGGGGGGGGGGTCTTGTAGGGCACCATCCTGACCATGGTTAACCATGTTTTCCCTTCTGTAGAAATTTCTCATCTGTAAAAGATGAAAACCAAAAAGGGGCTTTAATAAAACTTCTCCCACTATGACGCAGACAGATCACAGCATCTTACTGCCAAGCTACTGTTTAGACCTCTTCACAACTCTTTTCCGTGGGAGCTAAACTGGCAGGACACAGTCAACACTTTTACTCTGAAACAGGGAAAAACCCACAACATTTCTTTTGTGACCTGGAAACGATGCTCCGAGTTTGCTCTGCTTGAAAATTAATGCTTTGGTTGTTAAACAAAAAAAGTTGGATTTGTTGAGTTTGTCTGCTTTTCCCTCCCTTGGCACCATCTTGTTTCTCTCTGAATTTGCCTGATAATAAATTCATTGATTAACATTTTTTGTTTGTTAGCATGAGAAGCTTGCAATAGCCAAACTAATAACGCTTCTACTCAGAAGAGCGTGGTTGCTATAGGTTCATGACAGGTTGACCCCACTTGTATAAGAATATTTAGGATTTTAGTAGAGATCAAGAATACATGGGAAGGTGACATGTCTAGAGTGTAGTGTGTTCGATCTACTATGTAGTCCACAACTCTGAGATCTCTTTCCTTTGCATATATATATATTTTTTTAATCATCCAAAATCGTCGTACTACGGGCAATCCAACAGCCTGCGAAACTGAGGTCCACCAAAACTGACCACAATGAGCTAGGCACCCTCTCTGGTTTAATTCATGTTTTTAGATATGGTATCAACCAGGATTCTGGAGTATTGGGTTATCCAGAAGCAGTTGACATTTTGACACTGTTTTGTAATGCATCATCTACACCATTAGCTACCACCAAAGGCTGAGTTGAGATTGTGCAGGTTGCCTGTGGAGAGCAGAGGGAGAGCAGTGAAGGCAGGTCAATGATCGAGTTTTCACACTCACGATAACATTAAATCTTTGTTTCTCTCTTCTTCCCCTGCACTATGCCTCTCCTCCAGGGAGCCCAGCCGTCCGACCAGCCTGCTGCCTGCTGACTGGAGCTTGGGGCTGGGTTTGGGGAGGGAAGACGAGTCTTTGCCCCCAGGGCTGGAAGCGCTTCCACTGCGACTGATGCAGCAGGACTGTACGGCTGTCAAAACCTTGCTTTTAAGACTGAGAAGGACACTGCAGGAGGTGGGTTTCACACATATGCACACACATACGCATGCTCCTCTTAACAGGAGCCTGTACTCAGAAGAAGGCTTTAAACTCGAAAGATAATGTTTACATCATAGAACGCTTCTCTGTTAAGTGACCCTTCTCATTCGACAAATCACAAAGACAATGAATAAAACAACTAGAAGCATAATTAATAACTCTTTCTCTTACACTATACTCACAGAACCTTTCTTTGGTCAACGTATAAATGTGTTAAATTGTTTTAAACCAGTAAGTGCAAGTGGTTAGCAAATAATATGAAGTAATTTAAAGAGGAACCAAAACAGTGCAGCGCTCCACTGACAAATTCCTCAACCCGTTTTAATCGGCCCTATTACAGCTCCATGAAATCATCTCAAAGAGAAAGCTTGTCCGCATTTTAAAAGGTCCCCTGTAATCTATTTTATAGATAGATAGATAGATAGACAGATAGACGACTTTATTTTTATTATGTTTTGTTAATTTAATCAGATTCCACATCTGGAGTAGAAACTGGGCTGCTTCTTTGAGTGTCATATTCTTCATATGCACACACAACTCAGTCCACACATTGATCCTCTTATCTTAGAGTATCACTCTGCTCTTAAAGTGCGTTTGGATGCTGGAAGCTAAAGTTTTCACCTCAGGCTATGAGGCCATCACAGTGCAAATGGCGGGAAACCAATGAAAAAACATCCACACCATTAAAGATGTGATTATCTGTAATGGTCACTTAGCAAAGCACTGACACGTTGCAGTAGCTGGTTTAACAAGGTTGTACTGTAAAAATCAGGGAACCATATTGACGGCTGCCCTGTGAGTGTGGGACTGCTTTAACTCTAGATTATAAACAGAGCGCAATCATATTAAACTTGATCATTTATTGAGATTTTTTTTGAAGAACATAAAATTTTTATAAATGTGATTTGCAGGGTTTATTTAGGGTAGTTGCAATTTGCTGAGAGCTCGACTTGGGGCAGATTTTCAGTCATAATAATAAAATACACAATCAAGGACTGAGTGTAAATTTTAGTTTTACAGTCAATGGCAGAACATAGGATGGTAATTAATCTCTTTTCTGGAAAATGGCTGATGCATAAATAAACAAAAGTTTTGTTAGCTATTCTAGCTTTAATTGAAAACAGATTGATGCTGCTTTCTATATTTTCTTATGCCATGTTTTGGAGTGAAAGTGCTCGTATTGTAGCTAACACCCTTTGTCACTATATTTTGAAAGTGTATGAGACATTTACATACCAAAGAGGGATGTTAGTAATACCATCAGCTCTTAGCTATGTCTAGCTTGTAATATACACGGGTAAATGTCCCTCACCAAACACTGCAGCATTATACAGACACCTGCAAATACACAAATATAAATACATAAAAAGACGTATAAAAGGCTGACCAGAGCTTCCCTAACATCCCACCATTAGTCCCTGTAAACTAAGATCAAAGCTGGCCTTGAACACCTCTCTGCGAATTACAGTCCGCATGTTTTCTCTCATGTCTCTCTCTCCTGTTCACCTCTCTTGTTTTTCCTCCAAGGAGCACACAAACAGAGACACAAGGCATGAGAAAGATAAAATAATAATTAGTGGAGAGAGACGTAAATGAGAAGTGATGGAGAGACTACAATGGAGAGGTGCAGGCAGCAGAACATGAATATAAAAGAGGAGATGCTTTGCCCTCTTTGCTTACTGTGTTGTATCATTAACTTGCAAATTTTGTTACTTCCCATCAGTACATGTAATCCATTCTGCAGCGAGGGGAGGGTCACCTGGCCTGACTGTATGCTTTGCATTTTATTTGCTTGACCTTCTGTTCTCTTGCCTTGTTTACCTTAACTTATAACTCCTAATTTCCTCTCCTCTCGTATTCTTCTCTGCAAGTTTTTCAGTTACTATCAAAACTTCTGCAAAAATCACAGAAGAATTTAATTGTATATTGTTGCACTGACATTTGGTTGGCAGTGTCAACTCACATCCAGAAAGCATTTGGATCGTATCCTGGTTTGGCCTTTCTGTGAGGAGTTTGCTTGCTCCAGCTTCTTCCCACAATCCAAAGACATGTAGCATATGTTAGTTAGAGACTCTAAATCGCCTGTAGATGTGTGTGAGATTGTCTCTATATGTCGGCCCTCCGATACTCTGCAGCCGCCTCCTGCAACCCACACAGGATAAGTGTTATAGATAATGGATGGATGCAGTCATATTTATCACCAACAGGCCAGCTCATACATCACATTTTGTAATTTATTGTGCATCAAATTGCAGATAAAAAAATCTATTATTTTACCAGGTATGGATACTCTACCTTCCCATGATTTATTTCTCTTTCTGCAGTTTAGCCCGTCGGTTGCACAGAGAAACATTTCTTAAATGCCACTCTCCATGTGTGCATTAATGTTGCCTAACGCAATGAACCCCATTTGTCAATGTCAGCCATGGATTCGAGTGAAAGCGCGATGCTCCCATTTGTTACAGCATATAGTCACAGTCTTTTTGGGCATGGCCATGCAGTATCTACACATGCACCACCAGACCCTGTTAGCTTGTGCCTCTGCTCAACCCTGAGGCAGCTGCTTGACTTGTGGCAGCAGCTGCTCCTCCATTGCTACAAAGATAACTGTGGATATGATGCATTTTATTTTCAAAATACCGTTATTCTTTACTTTTCAGGACATGGTATTCCCCTCTGCAGTCAATTTCAACACTTTTTCATGTTACACAACAGCTCCGCAATCAACATCTGTGAAAGTTTGGGTGAACAAGCGTGCCGTCACAGTTTTGGTTTAACTGAAGACCTCCTGAGGCCCAGACTTCTAAAAACTCAGTAATACCCAAGCACAGTTGGTATTTCCACTACAAAGTCCTCACCCTGTTTTTGCCAGAGAACTCTAAATGGCATGTCAGTGTGTTGTTAATGGTTCTGCTTTCCAATATAAAACCCAAATGTCAATGAGAGAGAGAGGGAGAGTGGGCATGAGCACACCTGAAGTTATCTGAATGTTTTTATTTCTACATTTAACTGATGTGTGAATGTGATTAAAGGGGTGTATCAAACTACAAAACCTGCTTTTCTTTCTTAGGCCATTCATCATCTTTAGACATTTAGCTTCTGGGTAATGCAAAGTCATTAAACCCAGAGCTCGTAGGCAGCTTTCTCCATTTTTAAATCTAAAAGGCTTTTTTTTTCCCCGAACCACATCTAATTGTGGGGACAGTTGTGTGTTAAAGCCTGTGGGACAGGGGTGACCTTAACGAGAATGTGTATGTTTTGGAAAGAGGAGAGAGCCAGAGTGTATGGGGGTGTCAGTGAGTGCGCCTGTCTCTCTACATAGTGAAAGGTGTTGATCCAGGATGACACATCAGGGTCTTAAGACAACTGTGCACCTATAATTCTGATAGGGAGGCCTGCTTCTTTTAGAATAAACCATCACGTGTACGCTGTGTGAAGAGGAGAAATATTTAAGAATGTTGTTTCTCTGAGCTACAGTCACATCAAAACCTGATTTTAGCAGTTTAGCCAGAAGCTTTTCAGACATCTTGATTGAAAGAATGGTCAAAAAAGAGAAATGTTAGCCTGCATATGAATCTACAAGATGGTGGCAAGAAGACAAGTATACCTTGACAGAAAAACAAGTTCATACATCACAATCTTTTGATTCTCGATGTCGAGTCTTTGTCATGTATCTTGTCATATCCTCCTTGTGTGTGCTGTCATGTTCTTACCATGAAGCATTACATCAATATCAGCCGTCCTGAATGAAGACGGCACTTTATCCTCCCCTGCTTTCCTTCTGTCCTGTTATGAGCCATCACAGGTGACATTTAAATAAGCCTCTACTTTTTATTTTAAGAATAGTGTATGTCTGTGTGGTGTCTGCACCCTGTGTCACATGACTGTCTGTAGGCACTGTGTGTGTGTGTGTGTGTGTGTGTGTGTGTGTGTGTGTGTGTGTGTGTGTGTGTGTGTGTGTGTGTGCGTGTGCGTGCGTGCGTGCGTACTGTTATCTTTGTGAGGAGGACCATTTTGAGCATAGAGGGGTGAAGACATTTTGGTTGGATGGTTAGTGTAAGGGGCTGGGTAATGCATTATGCATATTGATGTCCTCAATAAGATGAAAGTACAAGAATGTGTGTCTCTCTCTCTTTCTCTGTTTGTGTGTGTGTGTGTGTGTGCTTTGGAACGCCCCTTACTCTGCTCTTGCTCTCTGCCCACTAGACACCTGTGCTGAGGCGTGGAGCCAAAATGATTTTGCCAGAATTGCTTAACAAAGTTGCAAGAATTACAAATTACAATAATAATTTGATGTCTTCATTTTGTTCCAAGCAGAAAAGTTTTAACTGAGACTCATCCAATAAGAATCACCCTGTGCACATCACACTAAAACTTACAGTGTATTTAACTAATTGAATCATGTTATTTTCATATGCCTTTTTGCAGAGCGCAGAGACGAGTCCTGCCAGCAGCCTCCAGTCTCTACCCATCAGCCCTTGCAGTGAAAAATCCCTTCCATTTAAGGTAACTTATTTAACGTTTCTTCATGCAAATGCACAATACTGCACAAGTCGGGCCGACACTTTTTGGGTTCAGCCCCATTTTAGCACTGAATCAGTCACTAATTTTAGAATCGAGCTTAATTTCTGCCAAATCAATCGTGGTTTGACAGGCACATTAATGAGGTCATAACGCTAAATAATTGCCTGGGCGATCAATGATCCGGCTCTCAGAGGATTAGTTGAGATTCTGGCATGCCAAAAATGTTGCTTTGCTGGTTTTCAGTTTTCCCTCATGGCTGAGGATTTTTAAACCGCTGTGACTAGTGTGGTTTAATGATATTAAAAGAAGGGTTTTACATATTGTAGCTAAAACTTTGGTCCCCAGACTGCTGTGATACAAAACTGAACTTTGCTACGCTGCAGACAGAACATACATTTTTATGCCTCTACATCGCAGTGGCATAATGTTTTCAGCTTTTCCATCCTTCCCTCAATCAATCTCTTGTATTTTTGTGAACATAATATCTCGAGAGCACCTACAGGCAAAATCTATTCAAATTTGGCACTGATATTAAAATGCACTCAGCAATGCATTGAATAGATTTTGGTGGTCAAAGCTCAAAGGTCAAGGCAGCTGTGACCTCAATAAGCTATTTTCTTACCTTGTGATCAGGATATCTCAAAAATCAAATTTGGTGCAAATGTTAACCTAGATTTATGGATTAACTGATAGATATGAGTAGGCAAAGGTCAAAAGGTCAAGGTCACAGTGACACCAAAAAAGGTTGTTGGTCTTTTGAACACGATATCTCAAGTCTGGCTTTAGAGGATTCCTTCGAATTTTGACAAGTTTTCATTTGAATCAAAGAGGATGTGATTGGATTTTGGTAGTCGAAGCTCAAGGTAAACATCTGGGTAAATGTCGGAGGCCTCCAACTGCAGGTTGTTTATAATAAAACTGCACTAAAGAACACTGTATTGTCTTGTTTCAATAAAACAGCATTAGAACTGTCGATGGACAGTATTCAATTTCTTTTCCTTACCACTGTCACCATGTGCTTGCTCATGGTCTCTATTGGATCTATAAATAACCATACAAAGAGAACAGTCTAGACCTGCTCAATAGCCTTGGGCCTTATACTCAAACAACTCTCAGATACCTCACAGAGCTACCTACTTCAATCATAATAACAGAGGAGTTGGTCTGTGATCAAAAATATAAGACGGACTCATCTTTTGATCTGTGTGTGTCCTCTAGTAATAAAGAACAATTACCAGCCTTTTTTTCCACTTCAGCGTCTAATGAATCATGAAGAGATCAAATCAGATGAGAAAGAGACAGAGCAGTATAATGAAATATAAACATGAGTGTAGCAAAAAGAGGTGGGGACCAAAGTGCTTTGCTTGTAGTGACGGACCCTAGACCCCCTCTGCCAACCTAGTCCATCACAGCTGTGCGATCTAGATGAGATTTATTACTTTCTGCTGTGTGTGTGTGTGTGTGTGTGTGTGTAGCTCTTGTAGGCTTTTGTCAATCTTTTCCCTGGGATTTCGTTGGTCTGCAGCCGAGTTCTTGTTAGACTGTTAGGAGCGAGAGGAGCAGAAAGGACAAGACTCCACGACTTTGTGAAACTTCTCATTGCCTGTGGGGGTGATTTATTGAACTTTGTTGCACTAAAAGTTGAAACTAATATTGTGTTGACATACAAAAGTCAAACCTTAACCCCTATCCCCTTACAATATAATAAAACTCAAAGACCTGCCTGTCTCACACCGTGCCTGCAAAGTGCACTACTGTGCTAAGAGTGTATTTGTGCATGCACTTAAATCTGTGTAGCAGCATGCGTTTGTACGTGTGCCCTCCTTATTGACCTACATGGAGTACCAGTAGCAGCTGGATGATAAGGAAAAATTAAAGATGTAGGGTGGGACACAGCATGAAGACAGCGGCTGTGGATACAACAATCTCATGCAATGTACAGTGGGATTTGTTGAGGTAGTTTCATTCAGAAAAAGAGAAGGGAAATGGTTTTCAGTAAAATCATAATCACCTGACCTATAATCAGTGAATAATCAAATAGCAAAACATTGAAATGTCTTTGTCTATGAATAGGCAGATACAGATCCATCAGAAATGCATGTAGATTGACAATCTTTGTGTGATAAAGTATTGCACAACAATCAAACACACTTGACATTGGTTAAAAACAGTGAAAATAAACAAAAGCAAATAACTAGAAATATCCAATACATCCACTAATCAAATATTAAAAATCAGATCCTACATAAACTAGCTTGAAATGAGCAGTTTTGACATTGGGAGCACATGCGGTGTATAAAGCAGCTTTATTTCACTTGGTGAGAAATTTTGTGTTGGAAGAAAATGTGAAGAATTAGATTTTTTTCTCGTGGAATATTAAGTGAGCTATGCACAAGATCATTTAAAAGTTTGTTGGCTGGACTTTTATTAAAGAACAACCCCAGCTATTGTCAGAATGTGCAGACAAACCAGGCAAACTAGGTTTATATACTCTGATTGTAAAATACAACTTTTGCTTAAGCATTGTTTAATTCCGTGGAGCCAGCACCCATCCTAAATACCCTGAACATCTCTCACCTAACCAGGACTATGCAGGGAGAGACTGAGGGCGTGACAGCAGCACAGAGATAGATATAAAGGGCAGGGTGGAAGCAGCAAGTGCTGGAGGAATTGAGGTTTGACAGGAGATGAAAACAGAAGAATAAGATTGGTGTGTGTGTATGTATGTACATATATATAAACAGAGAATGAGTAAGTAGGTGGGAGGCAAAGGCTAACCTTTTGACAGAGCTGGAGGCACAGAAAAGAAGCAACATCAAGATGGAGAGGGCATGCCTCACAAGGAGAAGCTCAATACGAGGAAGTGGGTGCAACTCTGAGAATAGTACATTGTTCTACTTGACTTTAAGATAGATTGAGGGGAGAGGGGGTGATGCAGACAGGTCGTGCAAAAGGGGGAAAGTGTTGAAGCAAAAGTTGAGTTGAAGGAATGTATTCAGTTTGATGACATTAAGTCTGATAAGTCAGGAAAAAGGGAGGAACTACAATAGACATGCGAGAGATGGAGGTGAGAGAGCAAAAAGCAGGTGAAGAGTTTGATGAGGAGGGCGGAAGAGAAAGGGGGAAAGAAGAAAAAGAGAGACGAAGGGGAGGGGCAAGGAGAAAAAGAAGAAGAGAATTTGTCCTGGCACTCCAGAAAACGACTCTGTGGGTATAAAAATAATCTACGGTAGCCACCTGAGAGGCTGCGGAGTCACAGTGCGCCCTAGTTTAATTTAGACCCAACGCATGTGACATGATTTTTACCACATTTTGTCCCAGTTGAAGTGTTCTACTGTATTTTGAAGACTGAAGAAGAAAAAACATGCATGCGGTGTCATTTGCTGCATAATTAGAAATGAGTAATGTATAATTATAATGACTGTAAATTTGTTATCATAGTTTGTTTGTTTCACATCAAGGCGACAGTGTGAGAGGGTTAAAAAACATACACATGCAAGAATACACATCAAGACAAATGTTTCTTGGCTCAGACACTATAAACACACAAATCAAGAAGATAAAACCACAAACAAGACCAATACGTAACTGATAACTGAGTCTACAAACACCTCGGTCAGAATGTATCTCAGTCTCACTCAGCTCAGCTGTGGGAAAGACGATGGATACCTGCTGTCCCTGTCTGTAGTTTGTGAGGTAACGCTGCGTTTCAAGGTTTATTCTCTACAACGCTACTTCAACCTGCTTTCAAATATGGGGAAGTGTAAGTTATTCTCGGACTCCCAATATTCCTTCATATCTGTTGTACGTGTAAATTACATTTTTCCGCTCCTAAAAAGTCTTAAATGATGTTAAAACCTACAGAAACGCCACTATCTTTGAGAGTGAGTTCACTTAGGGGCACAGAGTCTTATCTACTTTATCGTTGTATTTTCATCGCCTTGTCATATGCCATTTTGTTTTATAAAAAGTAAAACAAAAAAGTTTCATGTTAACTGCTCTACCCCAGGCTATCTCCTTTATAATCAGCTTGTGTCTGTTTCTTTGATTTGCACTCCCACAACATTCGACTTTGGATATTCACATATTGTTGAGTATTGGAAGTAAAACACTTTTATAAGCACTTCCAGAAGACAGATGTTTTCTGCTGGTTTGAATGGAGCCGAGCAGATAAAAAAAAAAAGAAAAAGCTTGATCGGCTGCGCTCAGTTTCAAAAGAGTCTTAACTCTCTCAGAGAACACAGACAATTAATCCAATTCAAGCGTCTGAAGCTTTTCTGTTTGTTAGATCTGAGCTGTAGTTGAAGCTCGTCTTTGCGTGACCAGCCTCGGGTCTCACTAATATCTCATTGCTTACATTATCATTGATGTCTGTGAAGTACAAAGGACAGTATTTTATTGCATTTAACTTGCCCTAATGTTTTCTAACTGTACTGTATTATATTTGAAGTGTCTCTAACTGCAGACATCAGGCTCTTGCTACATTTCAGGATATCTCAGCAGGTGACACCCCGCTTGTTTCAAACAGCGTAAATATTACAGAACAGTTTTGACAGCCTACCTAACTGTCTCCGTGTGACCTGTCAGCTGTACTGCCTTTTTGAGCTCCTCGGAGCAGATTGAGCACCTATAGCATCCTTGACTGCTGCTGTTCACCAGGCAGGCCATGTCCTTCAGTTTAAATGGCAGGGTTAGTTTGTCGTGTGCAGCCCATGTCCAGATACACTGAAAACTTTTAGTTTTGAAACTGTTGAATCACAGTGGAGTGTAACGGCGACCTGCTCTTTAGATTCTCCTGACAGCTGAGTTAACTCATAAAGACAGGTGACAGAGGTCACGGCTTTTTATTATGCATTCTTGATGTGCAGATGACTCTTTTTTTCATCACCTCCTCTCTTTTATTTTTACATCGAAGCCGCTCCTCTTGACCTCCTCTGTCAGTCTGCATAAATAGAATGCTATCAAAGTCATAATTATTGTCAGTCAGCGTGCACAGGTTTATGCATGTGTCTTTGAGCTTGTCTATGTTTTTTAATCAAGTCATGAATATCAAGTGCTTTACCAGTGTGTCCGAGCAGCCAAATGAGACAGCATATAACCATGTGAAGGAAAGCCTTATGTAGTAATGGCTGCTGCACACTAAAGGGAATTGGACCTGATTTGCCCCTACCACAATCAGGGGGCTGTCCCCAAGTTGAGGTCACTCAGTGTCGATTATCTAATGAAGTGTGGGGGGTTTAAAAAATATTCTTAATGCTACTGATTGAATCATTAATCATCATGTTTGATATTTATGACAGTCTGGGAAAATTGCATCAGCAACACATTAGATATCAAATAATTTATTATATCATGCTGGTCTTTTTTTTTGTAAAATCTTTTTTTTTTACTTTTTAATCTGTGTCCATATGACATTAATATACAGTTTGCTAAAGCCCAAACACCTTGTGCCAGGTCTGATGGGAGATCTCATATCTCACCTATATCATTGCTTTCCTATGATCAATTTCAAAATCAGGTTGAGTTCTGTACATTGTACATTTGTGATTTTATGAAATCCTATACAAGAAGAAATTGTTTTCTTTTTGATCTTTTGACAAAGGATATTGGTTGCGTTTGACTCAGATTTGAGCAAAAAATTGGTGCCGCAGCCACACTCCATTGAGGGGGACTTTTTCATCCACATAGGGTCCAGTGGTCTTTGCTAAATGCCGGACACACCAAGAATGTACAGAGCTGTTAAGGGGATTATACCATTTCACATTCGTCTCAGCCCATTCAAGTAGCAACCACTTGTACTTTAAGAAGTGCAAAGTTATGGAAAGATGTTTGGTACCCTGGTATTAAGATAACAAGAATGCCTTTGATTACGTTGTTATTTTTCCCACCCCATGCCCAATTTTAGGAAACAGCCAATTTGTTGAACCAACTGAGGGTAGAGGGGGTTATTGAAATTGCAGATGCGGTAAACAACCCTCATATTTTGTCAAATGTGTGTTTGCAAAAAAAAAAGTTCAGAAATTGAATAATTTCTGCTAACAAGGGGAATGTAATTCATCTCCATACCCTCTTCAGCTGGCTGCTGATTGCAAGCCCAGAGTGGCCTCAGCCTCCATACAAAATCACATAAAGTAGATGCACTCCAATGATTTTGATCAGATTTATCCCCACCGCAGCCATTCCAATCACATTAGAAATAAATTCACATGCCCCACTTTTCTTCCTCAGCCCTTTCCATTCAATTCTGCCTTGAAAAATTGGTTGGAATGCCACCTGATGGGTGACTTAATGCATATTGTGCTCCTTCTTTCAGCGATCAGAATACAGTTTTTCAATTTAGTTTTAGGTAATGGTAATGTTTCCCTCGTTTTAAATCCTTTCTTCAATATGTAATGCAATATAGGGCTGCTCAACAATGGGTATGTGAGCCAAACAACAACAAAGTCAAGCCAGGACACATTTTTTTAAATTGTGCGGTCATATGAGCATGTCCTCTCCCTTGGCATTGAAGTCAAAAGGGTGGCATTGAATGTGGCCGAGTTGAAGTATGTTATCTTGTTTTCTTATACCCATCTATTTCTATTTCTCTTTTTTTTCTCTGTTTATACTCATAAACAAACCACACAGGTCATGGATTTAGTCATAAGCCTGTTTTGAACATTAGAAACACAACTACTGTTAAACATTCAATGTCACACGCACACACAGGGGACAGAGGCATACACGCTGTTCCGGTTGTAGCCAGCCAGCTCATTTGGAACAGCCTTCAGTCCTGTTCGGGTGAGATTAATTTTAGAGGCTGACTAATGTAATAATTGTCACAGCATGTTAGCAATTTTCAGTCTCATTCAAATCTCATGTTTGTATTTTTTTCTCTCTCCCTGTGCACAAGTGTGTGTGTGTGTGTGTGTGTGTGTGTGTGTGTGTGTGTGTGTGTGTGTTATCACAGTAGGGAAAAAATATCATTGTCTAAAAATATCTTCCCTGTAAATGCAGGTGATGCCAGTCCGCTCTCATGCAACACCACTTGGTTTTGTTTTTGTAAATTGTTTCTGAGGGGAAGGCATTCTTCCCGAGGTTTTATCACCCTGGAAGCACTTACCTTAGCTTTTATCCATGTCATCAAAATCTATTTATTTTTAGTGACTCTTGCAGATCTTTAGTATTTAGAATTTTTTTTTAATATAATTTCTGGAAATTGTGACTCATGGCCACTACGTCTGTGGCTGACTGGAAAGCGTTTGCCATAATTGTGCAGTTAAATATGCCCAGAAACAGTTTAAGCATTTACGGCACGCTCCCATCGAAGTGCTTGTCAGACGGTCTAACAAGTTCCACGCATGCACACACTAATTTTGATGTTGAGTTAAGGCAGTGTCAAGTTAGCTGTCTGTGTTTGCATCAGATGGGTCATTTAAAGGACAGTGTTGTAACTTTATGGTTCCCTGTGGTCTGTGTTCTCCTCCTGACTCTCTGTCTTTTAGCTCGATGGCTCCCCATAGTTTCAGACCAGCACGCTCAGCCCCGGGCCCTCTCTGTCCTCTCCTGCTCTCTATCACTGTCCCCCTTTTCTCACATTTTCCCCCCTCCTCACTTTTCTCTGGTTATCTTGCCCCTCTTTTTCTTTCTTTACTGCGTTTATGCCCTTGAAGAGGTAATGGCCATCTGTATGTCTGTCATTTCCCTCCTCTCTCACTTATTCCTTTTCTTTTCTTCTCTCGTCCTTACTGTGTCACTCTCTGTCCAATTTAGAATTAAGTTGAGTATTTTAATTAAAGCTGCTCGGTCTGGAGCCCAGCTATTTTTATTATATCCAGGCATGAGCCAGTGTGTAGAGATCCTGTGGCAGCTTGGCTGTTGCACAGTCAAGCCAAGGTCTGAAGCAGACGAGGCTTTGGACCAACCCTGACAGTGAAAATCAGGTTGGCCGACAAAGATGTTTGCAGTTTTCGCTTCACTAACTAATAAACAGAATTCATGTCAACTGATTCGGCGTAATTTGTTCGGTGGATAAATGTGGCAGACAAATTAGGAGTTCTCGTCATAAACAGCTAACACATTTTAATGAAAGATATTTTTAGAAGAGGTTTATAACACTTTGTAACTGTTGTATTGAAAGGTGCAATGAGAATAAAGTTACTTTTATGAGTATTATTATTCTCCTCCCTTCTTCCGTCTCAGCTGCGCCTCTCCGTCTTCGCCTCTCCGTCTTCGCCTCTCCGTCTTCGCCACGGTAATGTCCCCTGACAGCACAAGGTCATTTTAAAGTGCTGTGCACTGTAGGGTGCTGCCACAGGACACTCCAAGTTTATCTCAGAGATGTAGAGAGGAGAGGAGATCACGGTCCTGCACCATGCACCACATAACAACTACATTACACACAC